TTTTTTTTTTTTTTTTTTTTTTTTTTTTTTTTTTTTTTTGGTAAGATGAATTTAGCATTGTTTAGTTATTAAAAATACTGGTTTTTAATATTGAAAAATAAAGCATTTAATATCAACTGCCCAGGCTGCAGGTGTTTACGGGAGTTGTGGCAGTGAGCTTGGAGCCAGCTGGGGGCCAGGGACCCCCCTGAGCTCCAGAGGGGCAGGATCGGGGGGGACGGGGACGGGACGGGACGACACATGACCCTGCTTGGGAGCAAGAGGGGCACAGTCAGAGCACGGCCTCGGGGTGAGAAGTGCAGATTTTATTGATATGATACCGATGGGCTGGCCCCCACCTGGGGGGTCTGTCCCCGCCAGGACAGTGGGGCCAGCTGTAAGGCCCAGGGCTGAGACCCCCTCGCTCCCTCCCAAGTTCTCTTTAGCAAAGCATTCTCCCACCCAAACTGGGAAACACTCCTGTCCCCCAGCTGCAGGGGGAGCTCGGCACTGGTTTGGGGCAGCAGGGTGTAACAGCAATCCCTCCCCAGGAAGGGAAGGGGCTGAGCTGGACCCTGTGCTGGGAGAAGCTGCGACAGGGTCAGCACCAGCACTCCCAGTTTAGGGAGAAGCAGCTCCAAGTCGAGCTTGGCTGGGAGCAAGGTGTGTGCAGCAGCACAGGGGGCTGGGGGAGTGGGATGTAGCTTAGGCAGGCGGCTTGCGGAAGACGCTCCAGGCGTGGAAGCAGCGGGTGAAGGGCCAGGGCTCGTTGCCTTTCCGCACCAGCCGGAGCTTGCGGGGCCGCGTGGGGTCCTTGGAGCGCATATGCTGTATGTAGACCTGGGGCAGAGCACAGCCATGGGGGTCCCTCCAGTGCTTACCCACCTCTGGGGCTGCTGTGAGCTCTGCCCTGCCATGCCCAAGGCAGGATCAGGTCCCTCAAGAGGACATGAAGCCCAAATCCTTCCCCCTCCAGGCAGCAGGAAGGAGGAGGAGAGCCCCTACCTGGCAGGCTTTGAGGCTCAGCTTGATCTCCACCTGGCTGGTCTGGGTGCCCACCCACATGTAGACCTGCAGGGAGGACACAAAGCCAGGCTCAGGCGAGGGAGCTGGGGGCAGATCCAGCCACTTGACACAGGACAGTCTTACCAGCCGCCCCCCGCTCACCTCCCGCCCGTTGTCCAGCAGCATGATGTCATCATCAGCCAGGTCATCCTGGCAGAAATCAGAGCACTTCTCCGACACGGAGAAATAACCCTTCTCGTTGGAGCACCTGCAGGGAGAGCCGGAAGGAGATGGCATCAGAGACATGAGTTTGTTAGGACTCAGCTCCTGGAGAAGGCAGGGACATGATGGCACAGCTGTTTCCTGCCCAGAGGGATGGACACAGTTGTGAGAGGGACTTTTCCTCCTGTGGAGAGCTGTGCCCTAACTAGTTTGGGAGGACTGAGTCCCCAGTGAAGGCCAGCACAGCCTCAGGTGCTGCAGGAGGAAGAAGACCAGCACAGACTGGAGCAACCTCTCTGTGACCAGAACCCACCTGAAGAGCCGGGAGTGCTTCATATAGTCAGCGTCTTCATCGTAGGGTTTCTGGCTCCCGATGCCCACCCAGAAGAAGTTTTCAGGCTCTTCACCTTCATTGATCACCTGCAAGGGCAGGGCCAGGGCTGAGCAGGGCTGTTCTCCTGCCCTGGTGGTCGCTGCCACCCAGGTAAGATGGGGCTGAGCCCCACTGTGCCCCCACCCCACTCACCTGTTTGCTGTAGGAGTCATCAAACATGTGGTTCATGATGTCCTCAGCCAACTTGGCCTCGTCGGGGTCTGCTGCCCGGCCCACCCAGGTGTAGACGATGCCCTGGTTGTCCGTACTCTCAAAAGGCACCTGGGGATGGGGAGCAGAGAGTCAGGGCTACCCAAGTGGGGTGGAGGGCAAGTGGCCAAGCAGCCCTGAGGATGCTCAGCCAGGAGTGGTACCTTGAGGATGAAGCAAAACTCGGAGTTGAGCAAACCAGCGTCTGTGTTGATCTGGATGCACCTAGAAAAGAAGCCCAGGAGGCACTGTCAGGGCGAGATCAGGCCCTCGAGCCTACAGGAACGTAGCCCACCAGGAGCCTGGCATCCCTGGGTGCTGCCCAGCCCCCCACGGGTGCTGCCTGGCCCGGAGCAGCCCCCCGGACGCTGACCTGGTGCAGAGGGCCCCACCGTTGGTGCGGATGTGGTAGAGGCTAGGCTGGGGTGGGCTGGCCCTGTCCTTCCGTTTGCCCCGGTGGATGACAAACCTCCTCTTGAAGTGAGAGAGGAACTTGGGGTTCTCCTGCTGCTGGGTCATGCGCACAACCTGGCCAGGGGTGGGTGTCAGCAGAGAGCCAGCCCCCAAACACAACCCCAAGCCCCAGCTGCACCCCCCCTTCATCTCTGCTGCTCCCCCCTGCCCTTAGCCTGGGGGGCAGAGGGGATGGAGAAGGGAGGAAACATTGGGGGACCCCTGTGTTACCCCCAGCAGCACACAGCAGGGTCACCTCCAGTTTTCCAGGGAAGAGACTCTCGAACTTCTTCTGAAGGCTGAAGGTGAAGGTGAGCCAGCCCATGTTGGAGGCCTCCCGGCCCTGCCAGAAGTAGACGATGCACTGGAAGTCTTCCTCAGGCTGCTTCTCCTCCTCCTCTTCCTCACCCTCCTCCTCCCCTTTGCCTTCGCTCTTCTTCTTCTTCTCCTCCTCCTCCTCCTCATACTCCACCGGCACCCAGTACCTGAGGGTAGGAAGAGGGGGTGATGTGAGGGATGGGGCAGGCTGGGGGTCCGGGCAGGGAGATGGTGGGATGAGGTGGTCCAGCAGCCCAAGATGGGACGAGCTGGGTGTCACCTGCAGAGGAAGACATAGCAGTCGTGGGTGTGGAAGTGACCAAACTCCTCCTCGGGCAGGCGAGCGAATTTCTTGCCCTCCAGCACAAAGCCCTCCATGCCGTCCAGGTCTTCGTTCCACTCCTCCATCAGCTGCTCCGCCTGCAGACCCAGGTGGTCTGTTAGCCCATGGCCACCAAGCCCCTCCATCAGCAGTCGGCCCAAGGCCGCAGGGGGCCACATGGGATGGTCCCCAGCCCTACCTCGCTCAAGGGCATGGGCGGCTGGCGGGGCAGGAAGAGTGCCGTGAGATCAGCCTTCATCTGGTCTTTCTTCTCGGCGTCCTTGCGGACCTTGCCGGCGAGGCCGCCCTCCTGCAGCACCGTCTCAGCATTGCGGGTGTAATCCACACGCAGGACGTCGTCCCAATTCTTGAATTTGGACTTGAACACCTAAAATTAGAAAGCAGATAATGCACTACAGCACCCTCTGTGGCACCCAACACCCTATCCGAGGGGGGCTGTGTTCCCGTCTCCCTCCCCGTGCCTGTTGGCAGGCACAGGGGCTGCCTTACCTGGCACTCGGTGCCCTCCAGGTTCCTGGTGACCATGGCGTGCTTGGGCCGGTGCAGCATCCCGCACAGCTCCTGGCTCAGCTTCAGCGCTGCTGCCCGCACCAGCCGCGGCGACTTCCTCCCAATCCAGATGAAGACGTCAGACCAGCAGTCGAGGATGTACACGCTCTTAGTGTCCAGCAAGCTCTGCAGCTAAGGGAAAAAAGAGGGTCAGGCACCCGCGGGTTTTTCCAGGTTGGAAAATGCCCTGCCTGCTCCCTGAGAAACAGTGGGGAAGAGCAGAGCATCCCCCACCCTGCTGGCCAAACCTGCCTCTCCCAGGGCACAGCTGGAGGCAGAGGGGGGCACAAAACCAGTCTCACTGGTCAGACTGGGAAAATCTCCCCACCCCATCCTACCAGGCGCATCTCTGGCATCAAATCAGCCTTCAGCCTCTTCTTGTGCTCCACCGAGAGCTTGTAGTTGATCTGGGGCAGCTCCAGGTAGCCCAGGCCCAAGCCGACCTGTGGAGGGGACAAGGACACGGGTGAGGGGGGGGTTGCAGAGCCGCGGCAACGCGGGTGGCCCCACGGCCAGAAGCTCCCCACCTTGTACAGCTTGGGCTTGTGGGGCTGGAAGTCATCAGGGACACAGGGCCGGATCTCCTCGGGCTGCCCCCCCAGTGCCTCCCAGAAGTCGGGGGTCTCCTGGCCCTGGGTGAACAGCGTGATCTCTGCTTTGCCCTTCCGCTCGTTCTTGTTGATCTTCTCAGCGAAAAGCCTGTTGCGGGGAGGGAGTGGGTGAGATGGCAGGTGAGCTCCCCACAGCCCCTCGGCACCCCCCAAACCAGCCCTACCTGGCCTTGGTGGTGCTGCTCAGCGTGGCCTGTCTCCCACGCCACACGAAGAGGTCAAGTCCATGGTCGAGGAGGAAGACAAACCTTGTGGATCCAGAGATGAAAGAACAGTCAGGAGAGAGCGGGCTGCACCAAGCATCCTCCCCACCCCAGGGGTCCCTGTGGACCACAGGGATCAGGGCTGCCAAGTGGCGTTTGGATCCCCATCCTGTGCCAGCACACAGCCAACTTTCACCCCAGAGCTGCAGCTACGCTGTCTTGAGTGGACCCTGCCAGCATCCTGTCCCTCCGCTGGGACCCTGTGTCCCCTGGCCACTGCCCCTGCTCACCGGGGGTCCAGTGATGTCCCTTTCAGTGCCACCGACTCCAGCTTGACGTTCTTCTTCCCATAGACACGGTACAGCCTGGGGGACAGACAGCCATGGTGGGACGTGGGGGACCACCTGCTCCACGCATCCCCCCCAGCCCCCGGCCCCAGCAGTACCTGGTGACGTATTGTGTGTCCTCGACGGTGAAGAAGCCGCTGGCTGTGCCACCCTCAATGTAGGAGATGTCATTGTCAAAGACCTGGGGGCAGGGAGGGTGTGAGTGTGGGAGAAGCAGGGCTGGGGGCTGTGGGGGGGCTGGGGCTTGGCCTCACCTGGAGGAACTCGTCACTCTCGTCCCCCATCTCCTCCCGGATGCTGCGACACTCAGCCCC